CATCTGTGAACGAGGCAAAATCGAGTTTATGTAAAAACAAGAACCATATTGGACATAATAAAGAAGAAAAACTTGCTTTTACAATAAATAGCATGAAGTCTTGATGTAGACATTTGCTCAACAGCCGCTGCATCATCACCTTTTTCGTGCGGTAATTTACTACTTCGTTATTTGACAAAATTATTTACATCAAATTGATAATTCACTACAACTGCATTTCTTTTCTTCGATCTATCCACGATTCAACATCGAGATCAAGAGATTTGCAAGGAATTCTTCCTTATGGGTCTTCTTAAAAATCAAATATTAATCGGTTAATGAAGGGATTAATCTCTTTGAAAATGATAGGCATCCAATTCAAACAAAGTCTTAGTGGTTAATATATCGTAGTTTCGTGAAGCACTTAGAAAATCATCATGACTTGGATTAGGGGTGACCGTTGGGTATCGGTATACCTGCTACTTGTAAGTACCTTCTTCGTTCATATAAGTATCATATTTAAACTGTAAAAAAAGAAAAAGGTAAGTCATGGGTATAAAAATAACATACTCGTAAATATCAAGTCAAATAACAAATATAAGAGTTTATAATTATTTACTTGATTTATTTAATTGATTTATTTAACTGACATATTACATATACTTATATAATTTAAATTTTAGCAACACTTATTATACTTTATATCTATATAATAACAATAACTTTTAAAAATAAATAAATAAATAAAATACAAAAACAAACCCTAAGCTAAAGAAATTGCATACATAGCAGTAACAACTGAGATAAATAACATATTCTAAGCGAAACACATGATATGCATAACAATAGCAGCTAATACAAGGCCTCTTTTTTCCCTAAATCAAGTATATAATTATATACTCACAAGTTACATGGTTTTTTTTTTGTACAACTCATAAGTTACATGGTACTTATTGAATTAGGTACCAAGTATAAATTTTCGAGTATTTAGATAAATAACAAATCTAAAAAGTTATATTAAAAAATTTTCTAATCAAATATCAAATATAATTTGTTCCCGACCAGTTCTTGAAAATGCTTACCATAACTTGGACCATTAATGTCATTTACTTTTCATACCCAACTTCAGAAACAATGGCTCTTGTTTTTTGAAAATGGGCAATGGAAACAATGGCTTTTGTTATTAAGGAAAAGAAGTTGCTGGGCCACAATCCTATATTTGATTTCGGGCGAGAAGAATCCAAATAAAAAGTTGGCTTTGTGGGCCAAATAAACCAAAGAAGTTAAAAAGTTATTGGGCCGGCCACTATCCTAAAGGCTGCACGTAGGGTTGAGTATTGGGAATGGATATATCTGACTTACGTAGGTACCTAATTTGTTTAGATATGTATTTTACCTGTATTTATAAAAAGATGGTTAAATATTGCATATGAAAAATGCATGTGTGTTAAATATAGGGTAAGTATTAAGTATGAAAGTCAATATCTATATACCTAACTTGTATACATGATTTATATACATAACCTGTATACCTGACGTATATACTTAATTTATATACTTGACTTATATATTCAACTTATATACTCGATCATATATTTATAATGCTTCATTAATTAATTATAAAAATATCATTTCAATTTACAATTTATATAAATATTACTTAACTATAAAAAAATTTATAATATTATGATTATATTATAGTTTTGTATACTTAATTTGTAATATAATGTTATGAAATTAAAATGTGTATGTTTTTTTTTTCTTTTCTTTTAACAGTAAATATTCAATTAAAGGAAAATTATGTAGATTTTGTTTGTATTTTCTTTTGTTATTATTTATAGAAACTTGTCTATGTGTGAGTGTATATACTCATATATTTTGTTTTGTATAAAAACTTATATTATATGTATGAAGTTATAGTTGTATATTAATTTTTCTATTTTCAATATAAAATTTAATAAATATATAAATATATCTGTAGATATACTTATACTCAACAAGTTAAGTAAGTTAAGTAATGGACATAAATTTTCAGTACTCGAGTATTTAGTATTAAGGTATTGTTTGGATTGGAGGTGTCGGATGGAGAGGGAGGGGAAGGGATGGGGACGGATGGCAAGGGAGGGGGAGTGAGGGGGAGCTCTCTCCTTCCTCTTGTTTGGGTTTCCAAAGAGGCAGAGGGGGAGGGAGATGGATTGATTCGGACTCCCTCCAACTCCCCTCGAATCTGCAGATTTGCAATCCGCCCCATTTGGGGGGGTTTGGGAGGGATTTGAGTGGCTGTTTACATTAAGTTAAATGTAATTACAAAATTAACTTTAATTTTTTTATTATATCCTTCTCCATTACAAGCTTAAAGGGTAAGTTTGTAAATTTAAAATTAATTTAAATCCTTCCCTTCCTTCCTTTCCTTTTACCTTAACTATCCAAACATAAAATAATACAATTCTTCCTTTCCCCTCCCCTTCCTCATTTTTATTTATCTAAACAAAATTAACACAAATCATTTCCTTCTATTTTCTTCCCTTCCCTTTCTTTTCCTCCCCCTCCATTTCCTTTTATTTTCCTCCATTCCCCTCCCTTCCCTTCCCTTTACTATTTTCTATCCAAACAAGGCGTAAGAGTAATGGTACAAGGGACGAAAACGGGGGACGACAACGGGGGATGACAGATGATGCAAAATTCATGCATATGATGCAATGACTAATTTAACCCCCTTACATCACTTGTCATCCCCCGTTTTCGTCCTTACATCATTACTCTTTAGTATTAAAATCTTATACATGTTATTGTTTAAGTGAAGTACAAAAAGGAGCAAATACCTGACCATTCCTACCCATGTGCACCCCTAATTAATGCTTTTTATCGACTTATTGTGGACACAGATAAGTGGAGTTCAAGACCAAGCCCAAGCCCAATAGCAAGAGAATATGGATATTTTTTCTTTGGTTTTTCTAATTATATTCATATATTCTTCATATTTTTTACGAATTTTCATATTTTCTTTCCATCGGCTAAGGATTAGGTTTTCTGGAAGTGAGAATTTTTTTTTTTGACATGGTAGGTTAGAAATTCATATAAAAATGTTCCGCTTGCTTTATTTTTAAAGTATTGCTTTAGGCGAACCGCTCGCTTCAGTCAAGTGGTATTGGACCTTGATTTAAAGTTGTTTACTTCTATGAATTACACATTTAAACCTCATAAAAACCCTTTCTCCTCCCCCAATTAATCCTGTAAATAATTACAAATTCTTCAAAAATAAAAAATTATTGTTTTAGGCACTCGAAATTTATAGCTAAACGCCTACACTAGAGTTGAATTTTTTTTAATACCTGCTTTATCAAAAATTTCAGAAAAATTGCTGCATAAAAGATTTAAACTTTTTCTAAGTCTCATTGGTATTGCTAGGTTTGATTTATTTTTGAGGGGTGAAATTTCTAATAATGAAGCTTGATGCAATTGCAGACGATTCCTGTTAACCTAAAGCCTTTCTTGAACAATCTGACTGGGAAGACTGTAATAGTGAAGCTGAAGTGGGGAATGGATTAATGGAATACAAAGGTAATGTCTTTATTTGCTCTAACCCTTTTTGGGGTTTAATATTTTTTCGTGTTTATAAAGATGCTTCCTTCTTTTCTCTAGGCATTTTTACTTTTACAACATTGAATTTTGATCGGCTGTCTTTTGCAGCTTTTTTGGCCTCTGTGGATTCCTACATGAACCTGCAGGTATGGCTTTCTGGTTATTTTGTACTGAACTGTTGAAGCATCCGACTTTTTACTCTGACACTATTTTTCTATAAATATGTTTCAAACCTAAAAATGTTTTCTGAACTTGATAAATGACATGTTCTTGGGTTATTCTGCTTCTGAATTTTCTGTGTTGGGTAGTCATTGTAGCTAACGTGTTCCAACAATGTTAAACTCTTTACTGTAGCTTGGTAACACTGAAGAGTACATCGATGGACAGTTTACCGGAAATCTGGGGGAGATTTTGATCAGGTAATTTCCATTTTAATTAATGCTGAATTTTCTATTGATTGTCACATGTGAGAATATTCTTTTGCTATGCTGCTGTTACCATAAAATTGTTTACTATTTTTTGGGCCTCTTAGAAAGCATAATCATTTATGTTTTCCATATATGATGGTGCTTGAGTGTTTTCTTGTCTCTACTATGTCTATTGTCATGATTTGCTGAAGAAAATTAAAGAATTTCATCCAAAAATATTTTCAATATTTTCTTCTGTCAATGTCTAAAAATTTGTCAATATTTCCCTTTCAATGTCAAAAAATGTGCCAATATTTTCCATTGTATTCATTGACTTCTTTTTTTTTGGGCTGTCATTCATTGACTTTAAAGGTGTGGTTCTGCAAAGAATGAAACATAAACTTAAGCAACTTAATGGTTTGGATCTGCCTTTTAGAACAAAAGAAAAAGGAAAACTCAGAACAAACTAAACCATTTATTAGATCCTAAAATATGTTGTTTATATGTGAACTTGCATCATAACCCTATACCATGCAAAAGTTTTTTGAAATTTTTATTGTCTCGCCTTAGTAAGCTTTCTTCTTAAAGAAGATTACTTTACGTGTTTGGCATTCAAAGAGCTCAGAGTTTTGGGAGTTTAGGGGGAGAAGTTAATTTTATAAAACGATAAAACGAAACATTCCCTTTCCATTCACCCTTTTCATATTTGTTGCCATGAGCAAGAGTTCCTATTTTCTTTGTACTCTGCTTGAATGGGTTTTGACAAATTGAAGTTATAATTAATCCTAATATTCTTAAATATTTCAGGGGAACTTTCTTTTTTCTGGTTGACTTTTATGTATAAATACATGGATCTTGAATTGAATTTTCAAATCAATTATTTAAAATCAACTGTCACTGTACTCATGGTTCTTGGTGTATTGCATCTGCAGATGCAATAATGTTTTGTATCTTCGTGGGGTACTAGAAGATGGAGAAGTAGAAGATGCAGATTAAGATTGAAGCAGTTTGATCATGGTTGAAAGATAACAGCTAGCTTCTTAACTAAGAAATGTTTTATGGTAGTATTTCTATTGTGTAATAGGTGGTTGTCTGTTGCTTAACCAACATGTATTTTGGTGTTTCTAGAACTCCTGCAAGCAATCCTAACAAACATATTTGAAGTAATTTCTGGAGATGTTCCACTCTGTAGAAATGGTATGAATAATTCTCTTTTTGGTGAACAAAACCCACTAGGACATTGTTCTTCTGCTTTGTCGCTCGTTATTGATCACCTACGTTATTTGGAACTTCAGCAAGTTTTTAAATATTTTTGAACAATGGCTTGACTTTTAAATTAAAAAAGAAAAAAAGAAGAAAAAAGAAACTGACTGTTATAAGGAACGACGTTATCTCACCTACCCACTTTAGGTGTCATGGTTCCATGTTGAAAGCTGGGTCACCGGTCACCTATCCAAATTCAATGAGTTGCTTTATTTCACGACACCCATCACGGCATCCAGTCACCCACCACCTTTGCGCAGGGTGTATGGCTGCTCTTTTTTTAGTCTGTTCACCTTTTTTTAGCCCCTCCCCATGAACAGTACCAAATTACTCCAAAAGTTTTGCGTACTAGATCCTTCTTATAAATTCTCTTTTTCTTCATCAATTTTATAAATTTATTTATTCAAATTATTGGCGTTTTAGCATTTTCTTTTACTTGTGTGAAGAAGCATAGGGGAAGTCAATCTTAATTTTTGTCATGGGAGGAAGTCCATCTTCATTGATTAAATAATAGTCAACCAAACAATCTAATTAAACCACATTGGTCGGGCTTCTTGGAAGTCTGCTTCTTGGAAGTCTGATTCTTGACCTCATATTTTTGTTTTTCTCTTACAGATGGAACAATCAAACCATCTGTTGATGATTCGTTGTCCTAAATTTCAAAGCTTACATTAGACCCTCTTTTTTTCTTTAGTTTTTTTTCTCCTTTCCATTTTTTTTGGGTTCCACTGAATCAGTACATGAAATGCTAGTAAGGAATAAGTACAATTTTAACGTGTGAAAAGACATCTGCCACAACATGTCGGCAAATTCTTTACACCATCAAAACTCAAATGAACAAATGAATAGCCACTTACCATAAACAAAGGCCAATCTTAAATTAGCCATCCAACATGATTACATTACTGCTTGTCTTGTCATTTGAACCACGTTGATGGTTCATACATGCAAAATTCAACTATGCAACTAGCCTCTAAAATATTCTATATATAATTTAGGCATGAACAAAAAAATCCATCTTATAGAATAGCCAAAAAGAAAAAAGAATCACGGAATCGAGGACTATGATCATAATAATTTGGCCTTTAGCTTTAAAGGGTGGAAACACCCCGATATCATAAGTAACCCTTCTTACGAGTATTTTGTGTCAAATTAAATTTGGCTGCCAAATATAGTTTCTCTTACACGACTTCTTTTCAAATTTTCCTCCTATTAAAATGCTTATGAAGAGGAATCATCACCACACGTCACGCAGATACCTGCCGGTCATTTGCAGATTCTTTACCATGCTTTCTGCTTTTGAGCTGTCTAGCGATCCCTGAAATCAACAAGATTTTACCAACCCAATAATTAATGTTCTACTATATGATTATAGATATTAAGAGGGAAACTGTATGGCTGTGCAGTGTGATATAAAGAAATGGGTTATCTCACGTGCAGAAGTAGATTTTTTTTCAGCTAAGTAGATGGAAGCAAAGTGGTGTCTACAACTAATAAAAAATTGACGACTCTGTATGAGAGGTGGAGGTTTCTAATCTAAGATGGCATCTTCCTACCGACTGGGATGCACTGGTAAAGGAGATGACAACTTTTAAATCACGCTGCCTAAATGTGGTGAGGTTGGTGGCAACTGTCACCATAGATCCCAAGTAGTAATCATATAGCTTAACAATTTATGTCCCCTAGCATACCTGCTCTTGCACAATAGTGTGGAGACTTCGGTGGACATCTCTAGCCATGCCCTTGGCATCACCACATACATATATGTAACCTCCTTGAGAAATCATGTTCCAGATGTCTGATGCCTGGATGGGAAGTAAAATGCATTTCAAGCTTCATGTAAGTAAATTGAATTGAGAAGCCACTTTCCTACAAATCATGGTAGGTGAAACAGGTTAAATACCTTCTCCATCATTTTATGTTGCACATATTCCTTGGTCGGTCCTTCACGTGAGAAGGCAACCACCAACTCAGAAAGGGCACCACTAACAACAAAGTTGTTGAGCTCTTCTTCATAAATATAATCCTACAAAAGAATATCAAATCAAATTTTCATACTTGATTACACACATATCCCAGCAGCCACCAAACCCAGCAGAAAATACTGGTGGAACTCACCATTCTCCGATTCCTGCATCCGAAGAATAATATGGAAGGTCCCAGTTCTGCTCCAGCTTCTTTAAGAGCAAATCTTTCCTGAAAAGGAAAATATAAAGAATGAGCTCAAAAACTTTCATACTATTTGATGAATGATGATAATGTGCAACAAACTTTACCTGAAGGAAACCCCTGAAAGGAGCCAATCCTGTTCCAGGGCCAATCATTATAATGGGCACTTTAGAATCTGCAGGAAGTTTAAAATTGGACTGCCTGACAAAAATGGGTGCCCAGCTGCACTCTTGGCTTTTCTCCAGGGGCACAGCATTCTGGAAAAGAAGAAATACATTGTTACTAAGGTATAGGAGAAGCAGTAGAAAGACCAACTTAGAGAATTTACTTCACTATAATTATCCCTTTCGGAATAAAGATTAATGAGTAGGAGTTACAACAGTGGTCATTTTGCCCAATATCTAAAGAGGTTCAGTAAATGGTATCCAAGATTTTAAAACTATTTATCAGACTTGACCTCTTAACCATTGGCATAAAATTAATCCAGTCCTTCAGCAGTTACCAATTTATAAAGGAAATAGAATAGACAAGAAATGACTTAAGTACCTTCATCCAAGTTGAACACACTCCCTTGTGAACCCGACCTGTTGGTGTTTTCTCATAAACCAGTGCACAGGTAACATGAATTCTAGATGGTGCCATCCTGCAGAACATAATTAATTGTAGATGGTTAAAAGATTGCTAAATTTAGAACAGGATGCCCTAAATCATTTTAAAGTTTGCAGAAAAGCTGTGTATCCACACAGCTAGACAACTGCTTCTACCTATGATATTTCCTTCCTAAGTATGAAAAACTAACATAAAAAAACTCCGAGTAAAGAGTACCATAATACAACTGATTATCTTACTTTTCCACATTCAATTCTCATTTAGGAGATCTAATAAACTAAGAGTGATAAGAGAATCCTGACAAAATGAACAAGTGTGCCAAGACCTTAATGAACATTCTGTCTCTATATCAACAACCCTAGAAAAGGAGGCTGATGACGAGAATATAATAGTTACCTTGGGGAAGATGAGATTGAATAGTATCTAGGCTGCAACCTTTGGGCAACTGATGCAAAGAAGACACCAAGTGGGGGCCTGGCTGATGGGAATTCAGCCATGACCTCAAGGAGGCTTCTCTGATTTGCAACTACCCATTGTGCATATTCATCCTGAACAACAGCATAGCAGAAGTTACACCCTATATGAATAAGCCTCATGAGAGGACACAAAAATACCAGAGAACTCAAATAATTCAAAACCTTTCCAGCTGCAGAGGCAAGGTGTCTTAAACGATCAGCATCAGTTGGATCAGAAGCATCAGCGGCCAAAGCAAGCAATGCAGACTGGAAAAAGGAAAATATATATCAAATGAAGCATTGGTTATTCAAAATAACAGAAAAACATGTCATATTTCATCAAAAAAAAAAAAAAAAGAGGAAAAAACATGTTCTATCATAGCAGAAAAGACTCCAATGATAACAGACTCAATAAAATAGTCTAACCTTTTTTGGAGAACTCAAAAGATCAGCATATCGAGTCAATGCTGTTCTTAGAGTACAAGGAGGGAAAGGAGGTGGCAAGGAGCTTCCACTAATTGGTGTTCCATCCTCTTTATCTGAATGAATGGAGAAATAGGTGTCTGGTGATAAACCTAATAACTTGACAGCTTCTTCAACCGTCTCAATTAAATTCTCACAGTAAACACCAACATGATCCCCTGTTTCGTATCTGATAAAGAAAAGAACCATGAGCACAGGAAGTTTCATATGATTACTTTAAATAAAGTCATAATTGGCAACTTTTCTTTCCAACAGTGAAACTAGCATCCTAAAACCAAACCAGTTTACCAAGATAGTAAAAGCCTCAGAAAAAAAACTTACGAAAGTCCTGTGCCAGCAATGTCAAATTCAAGATGGGTGCAAGAACGATCAGATGCAGGAGTATGAAGCTCCTTCCTCACAGCAACATTAGACCTAAAGGTGAAAATAAAATTTAGAATCTGCAGTGGAAGAATATTGCAGAATTGCAACCTTAAAATCCAGAAAACACTTATTATAGTATACCTGCATGGGTGTTGAGCATCGTATACTGCATGACCATTTGCATTACTCCAGTTATTGTCATTAATTGGTGCATCTGCAGGGTCATAAAATACGACACGGTATTCCAAGACAGCAGCAGTGTAAGGAGTAGAAACAGTTGGGCCATCAGCTTCATCCCATAGAAGCTGATCTAACTCAGGCCATACCAGTTCTCGCCTAAAATAGCAAGGGGACAAAGATTTTCAACTAAATGTAAGAGGTTAAAGAATTATCAAGCTTTTAATTCAAGCAAATTCATGGCACTTAATTACCATGCACTGAAATCATCTTCAATGCATTGATCATCATCTCCAAGACCCACAGGAAGAAGACGCTTCGCACCTGCAAAAGGAAGAGGAAGGTAACTGATTATGGCTTAAACAAATCCAATGCACTAAAAAAACAAAAATGTTGTACTGTAAGCCAACTGTGGCAAAGCTTTTTAATTATATATGCTTGAAAGGGTAACTTGTTTCCCAAGCCTTTTATATGTCAATTGAACCATGTTTGATAATTTGGATGTCTGCAACTTAAGCATCTGACCCCAACTACAAAATCACTTTAATACTACTTGAAATCAGAAAGCCACAGGTATGGTACCATGTTTAACATTTTCCAAAATAGGACATAAAAGAAGCCAAAAAAAATGCCTGGGTCAATCCTGCATGACAAGGCATGGAAAGCTTTTACTGCAATCATCAGGAGTTAATAATGGCTGATACTAGTCATATAGGTTATAATTGGAGGGAAAAACCTTTTTATATCTATGTAGATGATTTCAAATGACTTTACAGAATTTCTCTTCTAAAATTATGTCAACTTAACACGAGTGTATAATGCATTTCTCCTGATAGCCAAAACATTTGTGATACTTAAACTGCTGCCACTGGCTAATTATTTTGGTAGTGAGATTAGACCAGCAAGCAAAAGACTCTCTAATCAGCATTGTCATAATCCAACAAAAAAGGCAAATGTAGCATTTTAGTTGCCCAAGAACCAGGAAGCCACCTTTCATCATGGAAGCTCAACATCTTAGTCATGAAGTGATAAAATTGTATGCAAGTAAACCAATTAAAATCCAGAAGTTATTAATATATATGTAAATGAGAACGATGAAAACAAATAGAAGCATACCCTGCTCAGCAAGGATCTCATCCACCACCTTTGCAACCTTATTAAAATGCTCATACTGCCTGTTCCCTAGGCCAAACACTCCATATTGCATGTTACTAAGCCATTTCCCCCTCTCATTTCCCTGCAGAGATGGATAAATATCATCCTTATAAGCCATCCAAATTATATTTTAAAAACTACACAGATTATGTGTCTCCAAAGTCCAAATTTAACCAGATAGAATCATACTCAAGTACAAAAAGTTAAAAACTAAATTAATACGAAATTTACCTCTGTGAACCATTTATAGAACCTAGCAGCATTATCAGTTGGCTCTCCATCTCCATATCTGCATAATTCATATTAATTAAATTAACCACATCATCAAAGGAAAACCGGTTTTGAACATGAACAGAATGCAAATTTAAAATTTGACACTCACGTAGCCAAAAAGAAGAAAGCCAGACTCTCCTTCTTTAACTTCTCCTCGTATTCATCGTCATCGGCAGCATAATCATCCTGATTGTACCCGGAACACCAATAATTCCATTATAATTTAACCATCAAATCCATTTGACAGATGGGGGAAAAAAAAGGAAAAAAAGCAAAAGCAAGGGCAAAAGAAAAGTCACCCGTACCAAATCAACAACTTTAAAGGTCGCCTTTTCATAACGCGCTCTTGCCTCCTCAACTAACGCCTATGGTTCAATTCACAGCAAACAAAGCTAAGCAACTCAATCGGCTGAGAAGACTCTAAGTGCATAGGCTTAAGTATCAAAGTGCATGCTAACTGACCTTAGCGAAACCTTCGGCGGTGCCGGTTTGAGTGCCGAAAAAGATAGTGACCTTCTTTTTACCGTCATCTTCTTCGACTTCAGGCTCCTTGACAATCAACGGCTTCAAAGGCTGCACAGGCTTGGGTTTCTGGCCGCTCGATCTACGCCACACGAGTACAACGACGCAGCCGATTAGCACCGCGATGGAGGTGGTCAATATCATGACGAACTCTCTGTTCTCGAGCAGGATGGTGGCGACCTCAGCCGCCGATTCTGAAGACGCGTTGGACGGGTCCATTCTGCCCTTGATGATCGCCGACATCAGATCGAGCGGCGAAACTTTCATAGAATTTGACGAAGACGACGGTTCCATTACGGAATTAGCAGAAAGGTGGATGAAGAAGAATAACAGAACCCCGCCGGAATTGGAGCAGGGAAGGAAGAGCGTGGAGGAATGGAGAACACCTCTGCGCAAGCCAAAAAATAATTGGTGTTTGTTGAGAAATGTTGGAGACTTCCCTGAGAAAGAGAAGGGAAGGAGGAAAAGAGGAGTTATAAGCTGCCAGCTGATGGAACCAACGCCTACCAACCCCGACTAGTCAAACCCACCTAACACCGGCCTAACCATGGTTGAGTTAAAACTGAAAATTAGACTTTTTGTTTTTCTTTTTCTCTTTGTTTTCTTTCTTTAAAAAAAGAAAAGAAAAAATTGTTGTTCCTTTTATGTCTCTTTCTAAAACTTTCGTGGAGACGAGCCATCCCAGTAAATGCCCCCTTCCGAACTTTTGTAATCCCATTAGTGTTATCAAAGCAGTTGGCTGTTGTTGTTAAGATATATTTATTTTAAAAAAATTTATTATTAAAAATAAATAATAACATAAAATATATAAATTAAAATATGATAATAATAATCAAATTATAAATATTTTAATCAATTTAAAAGATATTTTACTACTTTGTCATAAAAATTTATAAAATTGTAATTAATGTATCAAATTTAATTTATTTAAAAATAAATGGAACTAATTTAAAAATTAAAATAAAAAAATATTTTCATACAAATGTATAAAAGTGAAAAAATAGTTACTACAAAAATAACCTTCAAAAAAATAAAGACAAAATTTTTTTTATACAAATAGAAAAAGGTAGGAGTACTGTAAATTAAATAACAAAAATACATTTTATAAGATAAATTATATATTAAAAATGCAATTTATTCTATAAATTTACTAAATACCTTTACTAAAGTTATTTTATTTTTATTTCTTAAATAATTTTATTAAAAATATTTTAATAAATTTATAGAATAAACTACACTTTTAATATATAATTTATCTTATAAAACATCAATCATATTAAGTAAAATGTATTTATAAAATAAATACAAATTTTATAAAAATTATACTAATTGTTATTATTCAACTTAAAATTTTTATTTATCAAATTATTTTTAAAAAATTAAAGTGTTTAGGAGGTTAATATAAAGTCAAATTTATTTTAAAAAAGATAAAAAAAGAGAACACAGAGAAAGGAAGGTGGTAGCGTTTCCTTATACCACTCAAGAAGATAGCATTTGGATATTATTAGGATTGTGTTTCCTAGGACGGCTGTAGTCTCTTGACATTTATATCTCTATTTATCTTATTGCTATCTTATTTTAGTAGTAAAATCTCGATAAATGCTTCCAACTCAACTCTTATATTTTAAGAATAAAAAAAAAAAGAGAGAGAGAAAATGGTTTACTTGCTCATTTATTTTCCATGATTATTAAAATCAATCTTTATACTAAATTTTACTAATTTTTTTAAAATAAATCTCTCCTTATCCAAAACTTAAATGAAATAAATACTCTTATATTTTAGTTAAAATAAATAAATAAATTAGTTAAAATTTACTTTTTCCGTTTACCATAGGTCTAAATTTTTTAATTAATCACTACTTAAATAAATTTTTTTAAGTATATAGAAGACTAGTTAATTAATATCATAGGTTGAATATATGAATTTAACCTTTAAATTAAGGTTTTTAAATTAATG